CAAGCACCGGAGAGGCCAGAGAAGGGAAGGGAGGCAGGGAGTCTGGCGGCACTGAGTCCTGGTGCAGCGTCATGAAGAGCTCGCACCCTGGCTCACACGTGGGTTAGATGCCATAGCTCTGGTGGGCACTTAACTCCCTGAGTCTGCATCGGGCTTTTTTCTAGGGTGATTAGCTCAGGCCGGCCAGAAGTTAGCCCATAGACTTCCTAGGACAGGGTCCTCACAGACTCACTCCTGCTGGATCCCAAGTCTCCAGCCGGATAAAGAAGGAAGAGAATGAGTTACTCACACTAGCTAATCTGCGGCTTTTGGTCACCCATTCTCAGACCACAGCATGACACAGCTTCCCTTTAAGTTTTTCTGGAGACTGTCCAATCCTGAGAGAAGGAGAACAGCACACCAGACTAGTGGGAGGCATCCCTTATTCCATCATGATTAAGAGACTTCTGTTTTACTATCTGCAGCACTCGCTGGAGATCCTGGCAAGAACAGGCACTCAACAAATACCTGCTAAGCTGAGCCAACTTTTCCCGCTGTTTCCCACACTGAGAGCACTGGATCCTGCTGGACTTCAGACCTTGCACAGATGTCCACTTGCCATCCCTCCCTGTCTCCAGCTACCTCCTTTCTCCTGTCAGCTTCATCCTCCTGACCACCGTGTCTGTCACAGTCCTCTCTGTCCAGTGACTGATGGAGACACGGCTGGCATCAAAGGTCACTAGCTTTCCATTCACCTCCCTCCGGCACCAGCTGCTCCTTAGCTTTCCAGCCCTGCATCTCACAAGCAGACTACTTGGCTGGGCTTGTGTGTGAAATCTGCTTCATCTGATCACCGGACAAACACTGTGTTTAGTGTGCACCATGTGACAGGCACAGGGCCAGACCCTTCTGCAGATGGCGTGAGAACCCTGAGAATCAGGTACACTCACCCCATCTTGCAGTTGTGGAAACAGGGGAAGCCCTTGAGTAAATTCTCCAAAGGCCTGGCATGCCTGGTGGCACAGGCAGAATTGGGAACCCCAGGTTCAAGTCCACCCTTAAACCACACTGCACATCAGTGAAGTGCCTGGGGACAGAGGTTCCTGAAATGACTCGTATCTCCACAAGGTACACACACACACACACACACACACACACACACACATTGCCAAACCACTCCAGGCATAGAAATCATCCTCAATGGACTGCCCATCCCACACCATCCAGAGTGTCCCAGACACTATCCCAGTCTCTGGTTTTGGCCAAGGAAATTATTCTGGATTTGGGACTCCTACCTTAGGTCTTCTACCTGAATTTGATGTGCAGAGTCATGTATTCATTTGCCAACTGAACCCTCTGATCATTCACATCACTACCTCATGGATCAAATACATACCCCCCATCTCAGTTTTATTATTAGACAATGTTTACAAAATGCCTCCTATGAACTGAGTGCTATACTAAACATTTACATGAAGTATCTCTGTTAATCTTCATAATTCTCTAAGGTAGGTTCTATTACTGTAGTCATTTTATGAGAGGACACAAAGGCTTAACCAGGTGAAGTAACTTTCCCAGAGTTACGAATTGTTAGAGTCAGTACTTGAACCAGGCAGCACCATCAACCCTCAGATCTACAGACCCTTCCCAGCTGGTCTGCTTGACCAACACCCTCCCCCACCCAGCCACCCACACCCACCCACACATACCCAATCTGGTCCCAAAATGAGTAAAGCAAACCAAGAATCCATTCGTTAACCCCTCTACTTAACTCAGAAGCATCCCCACTCTTCCCAGATCTCCTAAGACCTACTTTCCAGACACACTGACCAAGAGAAGAGCAGATCTGAACAGAAGGGTTTAGGGTAACACGCCCCAGCCTATCTTCCCACTGGGCATGGCCTTCTTGGTCCCATGCTCTCCATGCCTCAAAGCTCTTAGCAGAATTCCTAACTCCCAAACCTCGAGTAAAGGGAGAAAAAGGTTCATGGGAAACTTCTGGAAGGCCAACCACTTCAAACATGTTAGCTGTCCAGCCTGCTATCTGTTCCCATACATGCTTTGCTCAGGCCATTGAGGCAGGAGGCATAAAGCAGAAAGGATTAAAGCCTGGACCTTGGCAACAACCACACTCGGGTTCAAAGTGCTTCTGTTTCTCATCTGTCAACCAAAATAATTATTATATCTACTTCAGAATGTTGTGAAGATTAAAAGAGATGATGCACATTATGTGTTCAGCACATAATAAGTTGGTAGTTATTATCATTTTCTTACCCTTTCAGCCTGGGATGTGTGTCCCAACTTTATCACTGACCCTTCAAGACCTAATGCAAATATCAGCTTCCCCTATCCTTAGCCAGGTGAGTTCCGTTAAGTAGAACTGGCACTGACTGAGCATCTTCTATATGCTGAGCACTAACGACAAGTACTGAGGACACAAAAATGAATAAGACAACGCCCTGAACTTCAGGAATTCACAGCCCTAAGGAAGATGCTAACGGCAACCCACTCCAGTATTCTTGCTTGGAGAATCCCATGGACAGAGAAGCCTGGCAGGCTACAGTTCGTGGGATCGCAAGAGTTGGACATGAGACTTCACAACTAAACCACCACCACCACCAAGGAAGACAGGAAAGAAACAGCTCACTTCAATACTGCAGAGCAAGTGCATTGCCAGAGCATGCTATGGGAGGGAGCAGAGGAAGCCAGTCAGGTCATGGTGAGAGCGGGTGGGGAGAGGCTAGGTGGGGGCCAAGGTAAGGAGTCTGAACTGAGTTCTGAAGGCAGCGAGAACCCATGGAAAGGCTTTAAGCAGAGGAGTCAAATGTACAGACTTGTGCTTTAAAAAGGGATCGCTTTAGAGGAGATGTGGAGAAAGAAGTTAGGGAAGGTATGAAATAATTCAATTAAGAAATGATATCTTGGACAAGACAGGGCAAGGAAGACAAAGGGAGAGATTTCCAAGATGTCTAGATAATAAATACCAAAGGCCTTGACAATGAACACTGTCTAATCCCTCTATGTTCAGAGACTGAGGGAGATGGAGAGGAAGGAGATACATAGGCATTTACATCCATCGTTTTAAAAATCAACACTTGAGACTTCCCTGGTGGTCCAGCCGTTAAGACTCTGTGCTTCCACTGCAGGGGGCATGGGTTCAATCCCTCGCCAGGGAACTAAGATCCCACATGCCATGTGGTTGTGGCTTTAATAAATTATAAAAAAAAATTTAAATAAAAATCAACCCTCTCTTAGGGCACTCATGGCAATTTAGCTTGCACTGTGGTCATCTGTTACTTATTCATTTGGTTAGTCAATTAACATTTACTGACCACTTAAATGCCAGGCATAGCCTTAGATACTTGGAGAGTTCAGAGACAAATCACCTGAGTGAAAAGTATTAGCAAAGATCAGCAAGGGGAAAGATACAAGTACAGGGCCTAGGGAATGGACCTTTGTTTGAAAGGTGGGGTACAAAGAGTAAGATGCAGGGGAGCAGGTCTGAAACTCAGACTGGGTCAGACTGTGCAGGACCTAGGCTAAGGAGTTCGAACTCTTGAGTGGTGGATATGGGGAGCCACTCAAGGTTTTAAACAAGAGAGAGAATCACAGTTCAGTTCAGTCAGATCAGTTGCTCAGTCGTGTCCAACTCTTTGCGACCCCATTAATTGCAGCACGCCAGGCCTCCCTGTCCATCACAGCAATGAACCAAGTGCTCTCCTTTTGGAATCCCTGGAAACAAGGGCCTCACGTTTTCCATCTGGGTACATTTTTCAAGCTTAACACAGTACCCGTTATTTAGGAAGTAGACCATGAACATATACTAGGTGCATAAACGCTCAAGTACAGTCATGAAAACACAAATAAAATGGATGGCAAGTATGATGAGAGACTGGTCGAGCTAAATGCATTTTTAAAGTTAAATAAAATAAATAAGTCAAGGTTTCTCTAAGGGTACTCAACCACATTAAAAATATGGTACTGGCTCTTTCACCTAGGAGCAAAGACCTCTGGGCAAGAGTTCTGAAATCTCTCTGAGTAGCTATTCTGGGTCTTCAGTCACTCATTTCTAAACAACTTGAATATCTGGGGGGCTGGGTGTAAGGAGCTCAGTAGAGAATGCAGGATATAGTTCTGGGCCTGCCAGTAGGAAGGGGAGCAGTACCTTTTGCTAAGCACTCGCCAGCCGCCAGCCATCACGCTGCATTTTTCATATGTACCCCTGCACATGAAGAGGGGTAACTAGTGAGCTTGGATTCCCCCACCAATCCTGAATCCCATGTGCCTCTCCAGCCTCTGCCCTTTGGCTCAGGACTCCCTGGCTTTGGACACTATTTTCTTGTTACTGTGTGAGGCCATGAGTTGATTTTCTCTCCTTTTGGGGGGCTCATTCTCCCTGTTACAATGCCAGAAAACCCCTCTACCCCTCTCTATAAAGATGAGAGATATCCAAGAGATTGAAAACTTCACAGTTGAGTGATCATCATATAGTAAAGACCCTGGTGCAAGTAGCTTCTTGATAAATGCCTAATGGTTTGTTGTTTAGGGGAGGGTCACTTTAATTCCATACCTACACTGAATACTTACTGTAATAATCAACAGGGAGAGGGATAAAGAAAGAAAAAGGAAAACCTGCAGATATCAGGGAATCCAGAAATCTATTTGGCTTCAGTATATACAGTATGACTTTTTCAGAAATAAATTTACCTTCTTACATTGGTTTGATTCAATATTAAAAGGAGTTTGTGTTATCTCAATCCTCACTCTGTTCAGGGAAAATCTCCATGGGTGGGGCAGGGTAGGAGGAGGAGGAAGGTCCAGGATTCAGAATCTGCTAGATACCAAAGAATATTTTTTGCACACAGATGGCTAGGAGTTGGCTGTAACATTTTTGCAATTAAGCTGGAATACCAAAATAAACGTCTGAGATCATTACTTTTAAAATAGTGCACTCTAACGCTTCCATTCAGCATCTTGCCTGGTGACCTTTTCTCACAGACCCCCACACCACCCAGGCCTACCTGCTGGGCTGCCTCGTGGAAGAGTTCCTGCACTTGAGACATCTGGGCCATTCTTCTGGAAATGGGGGTCCTGGTGGTCTGGGTGGGGAGACCCCTGGAAAGTAAACAGTGTTCCTGGTCAGTCTGGCTCCTCTTTCCCTGGATCCTTATTGCCCATCCTTCCTATACCAGGCCCTGGCTGAGGAAGGGGCTTTGTCTTGCTTCATCTGGAAACACCTCCTTCCCTCTTTGGTACCCAAATATTTGATCCCACTCATCCTTCACAGACTCCCTCTACTCAAATGTTGCTGTTCTTTTAAAGCCACAGCTGCCCCCAGCTCTTTTTTCCCTGAGCTCCTTCAACACAGGGGTCGGAGCCGACTGCCTAGCTGCCCAGCCCCTGAGGACACAGTTTAACCTCCTCTCCTTCCTTGTGAACCCCTCTGTCCAGGGCCAGGACACCATCGATCCACTGAACTGGCTGCAGGTGGTCAAAGGACCCGGAGACTTACCGAGACGCGCTTCGAACACTCAGAGCACAGACCCCTAGGGTTTCGGTCAACGCTGAACTCGCGTCCGTCCAGCAACCCCACTTACCCGAACCCCTACAGCGCATCGTATACCCCCCCTCCAGCCTCCGCCCTTCTCGAACCAAGTTCTAGGAAGCCCTGGGCCGGGCGGGAGGCTCGGATCCCAGTTGCCGTGTGCAGACAGAAAGGGGGTCTACCTGAGCAGAGGGCAAAGGTGACCCAAGCCGGGCTCCTGCTTACAGAGTTCCCCGGAAAGAGGAGCCCCCCACGACCACCCTGCGCTCTCCCCACCCACCAGCCGCTCGGCGTCCGCCCTCACCTGTTCCCGGGACGCCGGCTCCTAGAGCTGGGCCCGCCCCGCCCAGGCCCCGCCCCGCCGCCACGTGGCCGACCAGGTGCGCGCGGCACGGGTCCCAGCTGTCCCGCTGACGAGGCGTCCGGCCCGAGCTCGGGCACCGCGGCCGCGACTCTCGGATCCAGGTGGAGAGAGATGGGCTGCGGACACATCCCCTCCCCAAGGGTGGTGCCCGCGCACCGTCGGCCGCCCGGGAGAGCTCCCGGGAGAAAGGAACAGCAATCTTAACAGGCGTGGGAAGGGACTGCGCGGGAGGTGCGGGAGTGGACAAGGGAAGAGTCCGCAAACTCTCAGACTTGACCAGCCGTCGCTCTGGATAGCTCGTTCACCGCACCCCGCCGAGGTGCACAGCCCTCGGATTAGGGTGACAGAACGCGAGCCTGCTCACTGTACCTGCTCTAACACTACTGAACGCAGGCATGAGCGGCTGGGGAGCAGAAGCACTGGGGCAAGAGTGAGACTGCGCTCCAGGGACCCCAGGGTGCAGCGGCCACGCGACCAAGGTGACCCTCAGCCTTGCCGGAAGTGGAGTTCTTTCGCCAAGAAAGTGCCCTCGGGCATGCTGAGGTGTGGGAAGGAATTACCTTGAAGGGATTAGGGATGAGGTAAGGTGTCCAGGACCCCGGCTTGCAGGAAAAAGAAAAAAAGTCATCAACATTCAGAGATTAAATTATCTCTATTTCCAATCCGGCATATTTCCTAAGCCTGAAATAACTTGCTAGGCCTCCGTGTGGGCTTCTGAGAAACAGGAGGGCAGCTGGGAGTACTTCCCACGCCCACAGGAGCCTTTGTGTGAAAATCCCTAAAAATAGAGATTGTTCTTTTAAAAACAAAAGGGAAGGCAAAGCCATGGGAACACTGACAGAGCTCCAACCTCCTCTGCTCCAGCAAAGGGTTTTTTGTTTTTGTGTGTGTGTGGTGTTTGATGTGGAAATATATATATAATATAAAATGTACCATTTAAACTATTTTTAAGGGTATAGTTCAGTGGCATGAATAATATTCACCACGTGGTGCAGCTTGAACTATTTCCAAAACTTCATCACCCCCAAACTGAGACTCTGTACCCCCAGAAGTAACTCCCCACAGCCCTCTTGCCCAGCAAGTGGTAACCGCTAATCTATTTTCTGGCTCTATAAATTTGTTTCTCCAACCTTCTCATATAAGTGAAATTAGATGACATTTGTCCTTTTTATGTCTGACTTTTCACTTAGCATCATGTCCTCAAAGTTATGGCATGTGTCAGAACTTCTTTCCCAGTAAAGAAGTTTGTAACAATGCATCTCTGTAAGAGGAAAGAACCCCAGGATAAATTACAGATTAGCCACCTGTGAGCAATGGATGGCTGGGTGGGCATATTATTGGAATCTCATGTTTGTACAGACATCTGTACAGAGAGTAGTGCCATCTTTATTATTTACTTTGGGGTCACACATGACATTGGTTTTTTGCCTCAAGCTGGTTTCCTGTTTGCTGTCACCTTCTGATGAGCCTCTCTCAAAGTGTCAATGTGAACTTTGAAGAATCCACATTCAATTCCATATCAGCCTGAGCTAAAAACATTAAAAAAGGAAATCCACCCCTCTGTTCATAACCACCTACTTCCTGTCACTCATCATTTTCTAAACAAATGAAAAGTTTCCCTTAAAACTTATGAACATCTTCTGTACCTAAGAACAAATGTTTGTCCTTTTTCTTCATGTTAAAGCTAGATAAACCTGTCCATTTGCAAATAAAAAAAATGTATCCTGCTTAATGTAGATTTATAACTGTAAAAAAACATATTAATACTCTTATTGTATTGAAAAACAGTGTCCTGCATAACCTCTGAACAGAACAATTCCATTTTTAAGATACTACCCAATATGACCTAGTACAAAGATGTTCACTGCATCATTACTTTGTAATAGTTTTTTAAAATTTAACATCCTAACTGACCACTAAAAGAAGACTGATTGAATGAGTTATGGTACAGCCATACTATGACAGCCAGCATTAGAAAGAACTAGGTGTTTTTATATGTACTAATATAGAACTTTGATCATCACATCATAACAAGTAAAAACAGCAAGTTGTAGAATAACATATACAGTTTTTTTAAAGCAGTGCATATATGTGTATAGTTTGTATGGAAAATACACATCCATTTGTTAACTGGTTATCACTAGAGAGGGGGGTTGAGATAGTAAGTAAAGTGGGAGAGGAAATCTAAGTTTGGTGCACAAATTTTGGATTTTTATTGAATTTTTTTCTTACAATGAGCACATGTTATTTTTGGAATCTGAAAAAATGAGTAAGAAAATTAAAAGACAATGTGGGGCAGATTGCATTTTCCAAAGATAACTGTATTAACATATTCCATCCCATATGCTCTTCTTGCAATATGACATTGACATTCCTTCAAAAAGAGATGGGACTCTATGTCCCCTCCCCTTGAGCTAAATGGACCTTTGTAAGTGCCTCAATCAATAGAAGTGGAAGAAATGACACTGCTTGACTCCCTAGGTTAGGTCATAAAGGCAGTAGGGAGTCCATCTGGCTTCCTTGCTCTCAGAGCACTTATCCTTGGAACTCAGCCACCATGTTGTGAGGAAGCCCAGGCCACACGGGGAGGCCACATGTTCCTACCAATAGCCAGCATCAATTGCCAGACATGTAAGTGAAACAAGCCTTCAGATGATGATTCAAGTTCCCTGCCTTAGATTATTCCAGCTGAGGTCCCAGATGCTGCAGAGCAAAGATAAGCTGCCCTTGCTGGGCTCTGTCTGAATTCTTGACCACAGAAGCCATGATAGATAGTGAATTATTATTGTTTTAAGCCACTAAATTTTGGGGTAATTTGTTACTCAGCAACAGATAGCAAATACATAATGCATCTAACCAAGATAAAAAAATATTTCATTTCCTTTCACAGTATTTTTATTCATCTCAACTTGTTTGAATTTACTCTTGTTGCAGTACCATTTAAAAATAATAATGTTCTTAAGCTCACCTTTTTTTTCTATTTGGGAACCACTCCAGCTAGAGTTGAAGCCCACAATAGTGAGGTTGTTACTCTATGGGTCTTGCCCTGGTCAGCTGCAGACAGAAGATCCTTCATCTCGTTCCTTTCCAGTGGTCAGTGCTGGGAATTGCCTTCTGTGTAAAGGCTGGAGAAGAGACCATGTCTTGAAAAATGATCTCATTTATCAGAAAGTCTGAACCCTTGGGAGGGATCAGAGCTTTGACAAAGTCAACCAAAATAAAATGTGAAAACAGGTTGAAAACATTAAATCAAAATGTAAATATGCATAATAATTACAAAAACATATCTCACAGCCTGTGCCCTAGAATTAGCAGCAGAAGGGCCGCAAATAGTGGATCTGCTAGTCTGGTGGTTCTCTCTCCCCCAGGTCTGCATTTTGTAATCACCTGGGTATAGTGTCAGACAATACGTCTGGGGTGGGGCCTTGGCACCAGCATTGTCTTTAAACTTCTCAGGTGATTCTAAGTGACAGCCAATTTGTAAACGATGGAATTTCTAGTTCAGTCATTTGGGGATTTTTGTTTTGTTTTTCCCTTCTCTAAAATATCAGAGAGAGCATACATCCTGTCCACAAATGTCTTACTCCAGTTATAATTTTCAAGGACAAGGGGAAAGCGTGAAATATATCTGAGTGCAGAGAACACAAGTAAAAGAAATATATTTGTAAATATACAAATATAAAATATGTATATTTTTTCTTTTTAGTTGGATATGATGCACCTCCTGCAACATCATACCTGTCTAAAAAAGTCATATTCTGCACACACTCAGCAAACTTTTGTTTGCTGGCTCTGAGGGGAGAGTCAGAATTTGAACCTAAATTTGGTTTGGTTCCAATACCAGACCCTCTCCTATACACAGCTTCTCTAATCCAGGTGAAGAGATGAGGCAGGAAAAGGGTTTTCCTTCTTCCTGGATTTTAAAGTGCTTTTCCAAGTGCCCCAGATACAAAAAAAAGTCTGTCAGAAGGGCCATCATATGTGACTAGGAGTTGGAAGGGGGTGAATGAAGACGCAAACCTGACAACTACCAGCGCCTCACACAGCCCAAGTGCTCTGCGTTCCCAGAGGGGAACGGGACTCCAGAAGACTAATCCTCTGACGTTCCGGGCTGGGTTGAGTGGACAGGGAGGGGCTGCCACTGTCCTGCTGTCGTCCCCAGCTCCTGTTGAGCAGGT